AAGAAGTGATTGTGAAAGCCATGGTAATTATCCAGACCTTGTACATCAAAATCTTGAAGGTTTTTTTTCTTTTGCTTGAAATACTCCCAGCTGAAAATCTCACATGGAAAATACGTGCATAATTTCTTTTTCAAAGGATAATGGCTCTCCAAAATTCCTTTTATCAATTTTTTCATTATCTACGCAATCCATATATGAGCTTAATAGAATCAATAATTTCATGCCCTAATGAATCCTTTCACAAATCACATCATCTATTGGGAACAGATGTCACCGCAATATAAGTTGATGTTGAGTGTTGTAATAAAACAAGGTCCCAGTCCAGCGGAGCGTTAGACTGGGGCGTGTTAGTAATAGTGGAGTTGGTTCTCTTTATGTGAATATGGTCAGTCTCCATCGGGGGTCCATCCAGCCTCTCTGGTCAGAAGTTTAGAAACCTTACAACGAAGCTGTTCAAGCTGTCCAATCAGGTACTAATTCTTGGGAGGCTTAGAGGGGGGGTTTCACATAAAGAGAACCAACTCCACTATTACTAACACGTCCCAGTCTAACGCTCCGCTGGACTGGGACCTTGTTAGCCAACGTTTCGTTGGTTCTCTTTCTGTGAATTTTTAGCACCGACTTGAACACAAGTTGTACATCAGCCGTGAGGGGTTGCAGACCACTGCAAAATCACCATGAAACAGAACACACCAACTGTCTCTTGTATCGTTTTAGTAATGTATATACATCCATACATGCATATCAACAATATAGATATGTACATTCAATGAATACATTCTTTCTAGAAACGAACATACAATAACACCCTTTCTGTGTTAATCTGTAATAGCGCTTTATACAGCTAGTGGGGCTCTCCCGATCCCATCCCTTTGTACATTAGGTTTCCCCCACTTGACACAATTGTGCGTTTATAATGCACATTAAAGGTAGACTCCTGTGTCCATCCCGTCATTTGCGCAATCTGATCAAATGACAGATTGTTTGCATTGGCAAAGCTTGCTGCAGCGGCCCTAGTCAAACCTGGTGTTGCAATAATGCCAGCTCGTTCCAACGTTGCCACTAACCATGAGCAAAGCGTTGCTTTTTCAACTCGTTCTCCATTGTCCGATCGGACAAACAGGAAATTAGCTTGGTTTGGGAAGTTTGAGGTTCTTTTCAGATATAATTGCAAGAGATGTACCGGACATACCCTCCTGATCGGGAATGCGTTGATGGTAATTCCTGTTGCCGGATTTTTCACTTTCCTGGAGGTCTTTTGATGTTCTAGGAAAGGTATGAAAAAACCTCTGCCTTGCGGGAAGATTGCTGCCCCCATTTTCCACAGGTCATCCACTCTTGCCCCTGTTGCTAATGCCAAGACTGTGATGGTTTCTTGTGCCGTTGACGCTATAGTCGTGGGTAAGGGTGCTTCCGCCAAAAAGTTAATCACTGTTTGAGCATCCCAAATAATTGCCTTGCGTGAAAACATCCGACAAGAATTTTTTGCTCCTGCCATAAATTGTTTCAGCAAAATTGTATTGAGTCTGAAATCCGGACGTCTGAGCATTATGGCCTTCAGGATAGCACTTTGGAGTGCCTTGACATATGAGAAGGAATATTTCGCTGTTGCAAATTGGCTTAAGAATTCGAGGACGGTAAGGGTCTCAACTTCGTGGATCTCCAAGCCTTTCTCGTTAAGAAATTTTCCAAATCAATTGGCGTAGCTGTCATACAGCCAAATAGTGGCTGGTGCCAAAGATGCCTGAATTGTTGCCACCACTGCTGGGGGTGCCGTCTTCATTGGAGGAAAAAGGCTGAGCATTGGAGTTGCATTTGTGCCAAGCGGTGAATGAGATCTGGATGTTGAGGTAGTTGTAGACTCATGGCTGCTTGGGGAAGGTTGAGATACTTTTGGCGGTTTTCTACCAACATGGGCCACCATGGTTGGGAGGGCCAGTTTGGATGTATGAGGATCCCTTGTGCTTTTTCCGCGATGATTTTTCCGATTACCCTTTCGCAAATATCCGCGAATATCTCTGGTCGTAATTGCCATTCAGCGTCCAATTCCCTGCCTTCTGCTCTTGTGAGCTCCCTTGTCAGGTTGTCGGCTGGGTTATCTTTTGATGGAATATATGTCGCATATGCTGTAGCCTCGTTATCTTCCAAGAATTTCCACAATAAACGGGCCTCCTCATCAAGTGATCTTATCTTGCCTCCTGCTCGATTGATGTAGCTGATTGCTACTGTATTATCAACTCTTAGTCAAATGTTGGCCCTATACCAATTGAATGGAAGAGTTTTTAGCGCCAAACGGATGGCCTTAAGTTCCAGAAGTTCAATTCTGCTGGTGTCCTCTTCCTTCCAAAGCCCCGCCACCCGAGACTTTCCGCAAATGGCTCCCCAGCCGCCAGAAGTGGCGGCATCTGTAGAGATAGTATGGGAGATAGGACGCCGACAAAAGGACCGTCAAAGAGGGGGTTTCAAGGCTAGCCACCAAGAAATGTCTGCCGTCAGTGAAAACGGGAGTGTAAAGGATTGTTCCCACTTAATCCCTGTCCGGAGCGCGTATTGTTTTGCTCCCTCCAACAAGTGGAAATGCCCCTGGGAATAGGGTATTGCTGGCATACAGCTGAGTAGAAACCCGAGAATCTGTGCAAATTTTCGCAGCTGCATAGGCTTCCTGTTTTTCAAATGTTGTTCCAAGAGCCATAAATCGTCTTGAAGACGTTTCCACTTTGTCTCTGGGAGTTCGACTTCCATAGAATTGGAGTCGACTATAAACCCTAAAAACTTTATTCTTTGCGCCGGAGTCAAGGCTGATTTTTCCCCATGAATGAGAAAGCCGGCTCTTTCAAAAAATGACTTGACTTCCTGAGTATTAGATATTGCCTGTGTCCTTGTGGGCGCTGCTATCAGTGTGTCATTGATATATGAAAAAACCCGTAGCCGTCGTCTTCTTAGCGCCGTTAACAATGCCCTCAAAATGACCGTGAAAAGTTGGGGTGATTCTCTCATACCCATAGGGAGACAGACAAATTTGAATGAGATCCCCTTCCATTGGAACATGAAAAACCTCTGGTGTTCGGGATGAAGGGCCACGTGGTGGAATCCTTTAATTAAATCAATAGACGTCATCCAATCACCCTGCTGGACGCAGTCAAGAACCACTTGGAGTGTCTCCATTTTAAAGTGAATCTTCTTTATGCACGCGTCATTCACGTCTTTGCTATTTAAAATCAGACAATAAGAACCATTATGGTTTCTTAGAGCAAAAATCGGATTTTTCACCGCACCAGGCAAGGGCTTGCATTCGCGAATGGCCCCCACCCGCAAAAGATCGGATACTAAGTCCGAAATTGCCTTGGCCTCTTCCTGACTCTTTGGTCGGGGATTTGAACTGGACAAGTCAGATGATGGGGAGGAGACAAAGTCTACCTTTACCCCCATTATTAATTTCAAAACCCAAGGGTTCTGAGTCACCTGGGTTCTCCAGAAGGGCAGAAAATGACGCAGTCGGCCCCCTAAAGGAAAACTAACCTGGGAGCCATTCAATGGGACTGCCGCAGGCAGTCCTAACGGTGTCGACGATCGTTGCCACGCCGATTGTTGTTGGAGTTGTTGCGGTTGTCGCGTTGCTCCCTGTTGTCTTGCTGGTCGCGGTACCTGTGGTTTTTGCTGCGGCCGTCCCCTAAAAAAGACTGTCCCGGCCTGGGGTTGTCATGTCGGGGATATCTATTTGCACTTGGCACCCCACTGCTGGCCCCTCCTCGGTGGCCACTATGACCACCTCCACAATTTCTGTGATGTTTTTGATTACCTCTCATTGTGGATTGAGGATAACCGCGGGCTGCCTTGATGGCCAATCTCAACGTTGCCTCTTGTGCTGTTGCCGTTGCCACTGTGTCCAGCAAGGCCTTATCCGTCAGGTCAACCAATTGCTCCCCATGTACCTGGCACGTGAACTGGCCAGCTTTCAATGATGCCGCCAGAGGGGGATGTTGTTGTTTTAACCCATTGGTAATTGCTTTCCATCTCTGGTCAGCCACTGCAAGATAGGCCGCTGCATTGATCTTCATGATCACCGATGCCTTCTTCCGTCGTTCCGGATCCCCCCGGACATCGTCCAGGAGATCAACCAGAGCTTTATGGGTTACTGCCATTAATTTTTGAATCTTCTGATAACCCGCATCTACTTGTTGATGGGTAACAGGCAAATTCTTAAAAATGGGAGCATTTGTGCGCGGTACCACCCCCACTGTTGTATTCACAGGTTGGGGAAATTCTTTCTCGATTTCTTCCAAAAACGATGGAATTAAGGCCGCCGAAATAAAAGGCTCTTTAAAAAATAACTCTTGGTGACGCTTCACGCTGTCCCTGAGTGTAGGTCCAGTTGGTTTTGGTAACAGCTCGGCCTCAAGGTCTGCAAACTCCGTGTCAGACTCCTCCGGTTGCTGGATCCAGGGACGTTTTGGCGTTGGTTCCAACACTATATGCGGTAAACAACAGAAGAAACCCATATGGTTCCATTGAAACTCGTGTTGAGCATAACTATTTTCCCCTTGACAATTTTTGGGTTATAGGAGATATGGGGACATTCCACACATTTCCCCTCTTGGCAGCCAACGACTAACGAGAGCCGGGCCTCTGAATTGACCAACCCATTGGGGGTCTTCAACCGTGTAGGTACACTTGGTTCACTTAAGGATCAAGTTGACTTACTTAGGGTATGATCCATTAATGACTCCGGGTCCGTTCGGCCAGAAGCGCAGCTATCACTCTCCTCCAAAGTGATGTTGTGTTGTCTCTGATTCCCCACTATTGGGGTCATTTCACTTTCATCACTTGTACCCTCACTGCCCACGTCTTTGTGTGGGATTGGGGACGGAATTTGATCATCGTCGTCCAAAAACAACATGTTAACTCAACTGATATACTTGGTTCTGCAAATAAATTCACCATAAACCAGTACTCTTAAACTGTGTCACTCGTTGATTTTTGTTGGGCAGGAACTCGAAAGATCAGGCGCAAATGCAAAGCACCGTATCGGCACTCTGATGTTGCCCCTGTCCTCCAAGTGTGCCAATGTAAAGTCCCGGGAAAGGGGTCTTGCAACCACTCTCCATGGTTGATGAAGAAAGACTGACCAGAGAGGCTGGATGGACCCCCGATGGAGACTGACCGTGTTCACAGAAAGAGAACCAACAAAACGTTGGCTAACACAACAATCAGTCTGGGACAGGACCAGGAATTCCTTGTAGGAATTCCTAAGTTAACAGGATAAATATATACTGTATTTCACAAAGCTAATCAATATAAATAACTCATCAAACTCTTCTTGCAGCTAAGATAAATTGGTTAACAAATAACTCAACTCAACTACTACTGATGATCTGATTAAACATGAGCTGCTTACATACACAGAGATATTTAACCTTCATTAGTTTCTATTTGATATGACAGAAAACACCTTTAATACGTCAGGAATCTAGTGGCATGGATGCTATGGTGCCAGGAAGTACTTGGCACTGCAATTGTGAGAAAAGGGAAATGATTTATAGAAATGCATGCTTAATTATTAATACGCAGCAAGCTTGCCAGCATCATATATTGAAAGCAAAAAAAGTTATCAGCAATTTGGTTATTTCTCTGATCAAGTGCAGCAGAAAAGTAAATGCTGAAAAATAAAAAAATTTGGAAAACTCACTGAAGGTGGATTTTTTGTTGACGTAATTTTCCCACCAGCCGAAAGAAGTGAGCATGACGGCAATGGGAACTATCCAGACCTTGGCAGGGTCTGCTCCAGTCCTGTTGTTCTCGACCCAGGGCCAGACGACGAAACCCGTGGCCTGGGCCACAATGGCCAGCACGTCAATGGAGATCTTGGTTATGGTTCCCATTCCGCGTTTCTGATCCTTGCCCAAGTGTCTCGACAACGCCCCTATAATATAAAATAAAATAAAATAAAACATTTTTAAATAAAATTTTTGCAACATTTTTTCATGGAAAAAATAACGAACAAAATCTACATCAATGCTTTCTGGGATCATGAACTGGATTTTCTTGGTCTTTTGGAATCTTGATTGAATTTATTCTTTATTTAAATCAATTAAAACCATTTGGAATCTTGTTCAAGAGATCATAGCTAGAATAAAATATTTTTTTTATCTTCATGAATGTGTTCTGAAATAATAAACTTGATTTTTTTTTTCAAGAAACTGTTGTGAACCTTTGATTTTCTCCCAGGCAGGCAAAAATCGATGCAAAAAATTTACAGTTTATTGATTTAAATTTTAAACATAACACACTTTTAGCAATTTCATGGAATCTTCTTTGAATTTATTCTTTCATATAAACAGCACCTTTCAGAATCTACTTCAAGAGATTCCCAGCAGCTGAGATTAAATCCCGTTTCACAAAAATTTTCCAAATTTGTTTTTGTGTGCTTGAAAATTTGCATGCCAAATAAATTTGAAAGAAAAAACTTGCCGAAAAGAGCAGGTATGAAGCAGACACAGTTGGTCAACATGGCGGCCTTGACAACATCCAGTTCTGGCAGAACAACAAAAATGAGCAAAGCCAGACCAGCAGTGTGCAAAGTTTCAAAGGCAAAAGTGATGAGGAAGTCAAACAGTCTGGGCTTTTCCCAGGACTTGAAAACGCAAATTCGCGTTGACCGGAACCAAGTGCCAAATTCCGGCAGCACAAATGCAAAAAATAAGCACCAAATCCACGCCACTCTTTCCAGGTCAGGGATGTCAACTTCATACTCCTTGGAACGATCTGTGAATGAAATGAAGAAATTTTGCAATATATTTAAATATTTGCAGGATATTTAAATTTTGCAATGATTTACATACATTTTCTTTAGAGATTCTATTAACCAATCTCTTTTCACGGAAAACAGAAAAAAACAATTTAAAATATTTAAAACAAACCTCTGAAACAATTTATAGAAATTAAAGGATGACACTAAATTTTAAAATCCCTTACAAACATACTGGAAATGAAAACAAAGAATGTATTCTTACCTCACTTCAAATTATTGTACTCAATTTCAATTGTTCCAGCTGAAAAAATTCCCAAAAGTAACAAAAATCTGCCCCAAAAAATGCAAGTTCAACTTGATCATGATCTAAAATTCTAAATTATCAAAATAACACATGTAATGCTTTGAAAAAATTAGGTTTTTATGGATAAACCAAATTCAACCAACACTCTGCAAATTAAGAACAATAAAAAATTTATGCTGAGGCATGTAGACATTAAGAATACACTTTAAAAATTGGTTCTTTGCACTGCATCACAGAGCACATAACACTTTTGAATAATAATTGAAATCTGAATTTTCCTTCTTCACAAGTAAAGTACCGTACTGTACAATACATAAAACTTGCCAACAAACCCCTCTTCTTCTTTTTTTTTAATTCACAAGACAACTCCACCCTAAAGCGAAAGTACTAAAAATACAAACCTAGCAATGGGTCCTTGTTGCAGTACTTGAGCTTCCTCCTGGGTTTGATCTGAGAAGTCATGAACAGCACAGTGCCCTTGGTGATCATTCCACACACCAAAACCACACCAAAGGTCACAAAGTAAGCAAAGATTTTCAAACACTTGACTGTGATGTCCAGGCATTTTTGGTTGGCTGTTGATCCACTGTTTGTCTCTGGTGGCATATTCCTGAACACATCCCATTTCCTTGTGTCTCCTATGCTTTGTGGGGAACTGCAAAGAAATATAAACAAATGCAATAATAATTTTTGTGGGACACACTGTTGAAAATATGCTTTTGCCAACTGTGTATATATACAATGGTAATGAATAATTGGTAAGTTTGTTAAAACAAGATTGGTTCAACATGTACCCCATGTGAGTTCTTCTGCTCCAAGCCTTGAAAAACAACTTTGTCAAACTGAACTATGTCCCCAATGGAATTTGTTTGGACAACATTTTCCTGCTTAATCTCAAGTCTCTCATTAAAATTTGCGAAGACCTTTGTGTAATTTATCAGAGACAATATGCTTTTTAAATCCATTTCATGCTTTATGAGGAAGTTCACAGAAGAAATAAATGCAGTATTTATATAGTGTTAATTTTTATAGGACACACCCTTCAATATGTTTTTGGCCTATTTTGGGAAGCAGTAATAACATTTGGAAGTTTGCAATAACAAGAAAGGTTAACCATGTACCCTTTTATGTGTTTTCTGCTGGAACTTGGAAACAAGTTTTTTTGTTCTGAAATATTTGCTGTGCCAATATTTTACTCTATATTCTTTGTCTCTAACCAGCCATTTAAAAATTTTAAAAGGCCTTTGTGTTATTAATCAGGGACAATAATAAAAAAAATGTTCCAGAAAGCAAAGAAAATATATTGAATTTTTCTTAATGAATCAGGCACCTTATATCAATAATGATAAAGAGATTCAATAATCAGGTCTGAAGATAATTTGCTTAGAAGATATTCATTACAACATAAAAAAATACCCAAGGACGCGTATTCATATACAGTATTTTGTAACTTGTATATATTGTATATTTACTGAAGGTGTATATAAAACTATTCAAGGTCGCGCGGACTTCGGACAGCCATCAAATGCATATTTATGATCAACAACCGCGAAAGAGAACCATCAAGCGTGAAAAAATCCTTCATTTCAAAAAAACTTATTCGTTTTTAATGCATAAGAGCAAAGAATTTTAAATTAAAGTTGAGGAATGCTGTAGGAAATATTTTAAAACTCCTGGACTAAAGCCGATTTTCCTCTAGAGATAATTCAATTAATAATTATTATTTATTGTAAAATCCCTAATTTGTTTCAATAAAACTAATTTCACCACAATTTTTTGCACGACGAATTTTCCTGGAAATTATTTTCGACGAAATTTCACCCGAATACACGGACAAATATTGACATAAATATAGTACTTTATATTTATTTATTATTAACACGTTTTTATTAACTCGCTTTCTTGTCCATTTGTTTGTCCAGATCAAATTTTGCAACTCAAATTTTGCTCAGTTCCCGACTAGCTAGCAAGCTGAAACTTTCAGGATAGCTTAGAATCCACGTTTAAGGTTATTTTTTGCTTTTTGAAAACGTGGTTTTTTAGTTTAATTTTTTAATCTACTAAATTTTTTATATATTTATTTCAATCAATCGTCACCTGTCGCCATAAATGCCTTCATGAGGTCTCGACGCCGGTGACAACTCATCTTCATCGTCATCATCGTCGTCGTCGTCGTCATTGTTGTGGTAGTCTTCTTCGTCATCGTCAGACACGTCGACTCTTTGCTTGCCAGTGTCGATCACACCTCGTCGGTATATGCCTCTAATTGGCATCCCGCTATCCACAATCGGCATCTTCTCAGTTTTGAATTATTCACGAAAAATAAAAAGAAATCAGGCAGTGACAGAGATTTTCCTTGCACTGTCGTACACGTCGATGACACTGACGCGAAGCTTGCACAGATTCACTATACACGAATCACTTCATTTTGTTTTGAGTACGGCAGTGTTGATGTCGATGGTACAGCAAAAGACCAACACCTGGATTACAGGTGGTCTGAAATCTGTTGAAAAATAAAAAAGACAATATTAAACCTTGTTGAGTTTATTTGATCAACAGTGGAAAAGTAAAAAAATAAAATTTTTCCTGTCAATCAACTTTGTATACTTGAAAAAGTGTTTATAAATCTATTAAAAAAAGCACTTAGGAAGAATAATTGAAAAGTCAGTCAGTTCAACATGTCCTAATTCCAAGTGCCCCTTAGGCAAAAATTAATCTTTAAAAAAATGTTGCTTTTCAAACTCTCTCCATATTTTCCCTTATTAAAATTCATTCATTCATAGCAGATGAAAGAGTCAACAATATTTAAAAAAAAATAGATGAGAGAAACAAGCAATAACAATTAATGCTGTTTTGTTTGACAACACCCTGTACATGAAGCAATGTGCCAATAACTAACCAGAACAAGCAGCAAGTGGGCATTGGGTTCTTTCTTTCTCTTGTGATTGATGCTGGTCCACATTTCTCTCTCTCTCTCTTTGCATTTGTTTCACTGAATTCGCCCCCAGGCAGTACTCAAACTCGTGCCCTTGGTACACAAAAGGGGCTTTTCAAAAGTCCCATGCATCAACAACGAATCATCATTGTAGTCAAATAATTGAAATAAACAAAAATATAGGTTCCTCTACAATTCATGAAATTAAATTTCATCTCATATGTAACCATAAATTGGGCATGAGAAAATTGCAATTTGAGCTTTTATTTTGAATTGAATTTTTTATTATTTCTTTTGGGGTCTGCAATGCCATAAAAAAATTCCCGGAGTGTTGATAAAAATAAATAACAAACTAATCTCAAATTTGAACACTGCTAAAATGTGGCTTTTGAATTTTCAGGTGAACATTTTTGTCAGAGTTTGTTTTTTTCCCTGAACAAGTGTGCCAAAGAAACGGTAAAATTTTTACGTTAAAGTGTGATGCAAATGCTGAAGAAGTCAGTTGCAAATAAAAAAATAAAAAAAACCGAGCCAAAATATTCGCATCATCGCTCAAAAACTGATGCACAGGACATTTCTCCAAAACGCTAAAATCGTATTCGATCATTTCTCAACTTGATTTCTTGACCATGGGGTTTTATTATTTTATCTTAAATTTTTATTTCCAAAAATTAAAAACCACGTTTTCTCGGTTTGAAGTGGGAAATTTTGCGGCGATTCGCAGGACTCCTGAGAAAACCAAACTTATAATCTCGGTTCTCCGGGTCGACCTTGCAAAAGTCGGGGTGCGATTTTCATCAGTCCTTCATGACTGCTAAAAAAAAATGCAAAAAAATTACTAATATTCTTTTCCTTGGGCAGATTTACTGCGCGCCGTATCCGTGAAATTTCCTTTCGATCGCATTCCACTTGAGAGATTTAACGGGTTCGGAAAAAAAGGTAACGCGACAGAGAAAAATAAAATGGATGCAAATGAGTTCACGAATGAATTCGGCGCCAGAAATAACCGTGAATCTCATATTTAAAAAAAAATATAGTCAAGAAATAAAAATGCTTTTCAAGGTTCTCGAGTCCGGGAGAAAAAAAATGTGGGATGATTCATTCCTCATTTGGTCGCGCTTTTCTGACACGCAATTTAATTTTCAACTTGTCATAAAAATACAGGGTGCTTTTTTTCCATCATTCAATTCAAAAATTATGTCCTTTATTTCCTACTGAGTAAAGTATAAATAAATAATAACCATGCAGCAAATGTTCTTGTCTAAATCGAAAAGAAAAGTCTGCCCATGTTGAAAAATTATCATCTAAATGGGTTATCTGTCCATATGAAAGGTACGCTAACCGAGTCATGTATACGAGAATTCCTCATTTGTTCCAGAAACCAAAATGCCCATTGAAAGAGTCATATTACATTTGATTGTTCACTTGTTTCATGGGGAATTTGATATTTATTGCTTGAATTGAGAATATTTCATGAAATTTTATACAGTATTTCATATAATATTTTGCTTCTGAAAGTATCAAACAGAGGCATCATAAAATGTCCTCTTCAAAGAGTTTTAGAAACATTTCCCTCTTGAATCAGATGAAAGATACAATAAATAAAAACCCTCACAAACACTTCTCAAACATTTGATAATTTTTTTAAATTCTCACATTTGATATAAAAGATCATGGTTTATGCCAAATTTAATTTTGACTTTGTTTCACAATAAGATACCTGAAATATTCCTATCTGGAATTGAAAATATTTCANAACGCGACAGATAAAAAAAAATGAATGCAAATGAGTTCACGAATGAATTCGGCGCCAGAAATAACCGTGAATCTCATATTATTAAAAAAAAAATAGTCAAGAAATAAAAATGCTTTTCAAGGTTCTCGAGTCCGGGAGAAAAAAAATGTGGGATGATTCATTCCTCATTTGGTCGCGCTTTTCTGACACGCAATTTCATTTTCAACTTGTCATAAAAATACAGGGTGCTTTTTTTCCATCATTCAATTCAAAAATTATGTCCTTTATTTCCTACTGAGTAAAGTATAAATAAATAATAACCATGCAGCAAATATTCTTGTCTAAATCGAAAAGAAAAGTCTTCCCATGTTGAAAAATTATCATCTAAATGGGTTATCTGTCCATATGAAAAGTACGCTAACCGAGTCATGTATACGGAATTCCTCATTTGTTCCAGAAACCAAAATGTCCATTAAAAGAGTCATATTACATTTGATTGTTCACTTGTTTCATGGGGTATTTGGTATTTATTGCTTGAATTGAGAATATTTCATGAAATTTTATACAGTATTTCATTTAATATTTTGCTTCTGAAAGTATCAAACAGAGGCATCATAAAATGTCCTCTTCAAAGAGTTGTAGAAACATTTCCCTCTTGAATCAGATGAAAGATACAATAAATAAAAACCCTCACAAACACTTTTCAGACATTTGATAATTTTTTTAAATTCTCACATTTGATATAAAAGATCATGGTTTATGCCAAATTTAATTTTGACTTTGTTTCACAATAAGATACCTGAAATATTCCTATCTGGAATTGAAAATATTTCATGAAGTTTAAAATTGTATTTGACATTAGTCTTCTAAAAATATTCAATACAAGAATAATAGCATACACTATGAAAAGATTTTTAAAGACAATCCTCTTTTTCAAACATAAAATAAAATGAAGAGTCCCTCACACACACACACACACACTTATTCTCACACAATTGTATAAATTTGAATACAATTCACATAGTTTATTTAAAAATCATGGTGGCGTCACCAAGTTTAAAATTTCATGAAAGATCATTTTTCAACTTGGTGCGTTATCCGAAACAGCGCACTTTTATTGTTTGTTTGTTTTTTTATGTACAGTATCTTGAAAAAAAAAATACATGGGTTAACCGAGGTATACCCCATTATGCATGAAGAAACAATGCCCCATTAACGCATGGCCTTGTTTCCGGGTTAACAAACCGTAACGAGGTGCTCGATATTTTAGGGACACCCGGTATATGAACCCAACAGCCTTCTCTGGGGCAGTAAAAATCCGTCCCTCTCTCCCACCCGACTTTCATGGCTCGCAGAATTCTGACTGGGGCCTCCATCAAACACGTGTGTAAGAAGAGAGAGAGAATAGAGAGAGACAGACAGACAGGAAAGAAAGAGAGAGAGAGAAAGTGAAAAACGCCAAGGAAACACTAGACACTGGTTGTGGCCGAATCCCACGACACCATTTCCACTAACGTTACCCGCCACAAGGAAAATAAAAACAATTCTTTCTTGATTGCACATATTCCTGGTTTTATTTTATTTTCTGATGTCTGTTCTGTCTACTTACACATCAGGGCTGGTTGAGAAGTTTTTGTGAGGAATGATATACAAAGGAATCATTTTCTTTTGGATTCAGGAAGTAAAAACATGTGCCTTATGCTGGAGACATATTTGGTACCCAATTTATGTTGAATGATTAAAAAATCTTGTGTGCAGAATTTTTTTTTCAATATTGCATTCCATAATTGAACAGAAAGTCAGTATTTTTGTTGAACCTGGATTTTTGAATTTGTCAATGATGCAAATCTTTTCCAGATTTTTCTCTTGCCTGTCATGTCTACTCACACAGTTAATACGTTTTGGTCAGGAATAAAATACACAGAGACTAACTTTTGTGGTTCAGGAAGTAAAACTTTGAGTCCTATGCTGGAACATATGAGTATCAAATTTCTTTTGAGAGATGAAAAAATTCTTGTTGACAGAAGGCCAGCTTCTTGTTGTCTGAGTTTTAGCACTTGTCTTAAACTTATGAAATGAGACAGCATCATATTTCATGTGAACAGAAAGCCAGTTTCTTGGTGTCTCTGGAGTTTTTTTTTTGTTGCATTTGTGAATGATGCAAACTTCTGTTTTTTTTTCATGTTTTTGTGCTGTCTACTTACACAGGGCTGATGAGTATTTTGTTTTAATGGAATGAAATACACAGGTACCATATTTTTGAATTCAGGAAGTATAACATAAGTGTCTAGGCTGGAGACATTAGTATTTACAATAGGTTGAAAATTGGGGGAAATTAGTGACTTTAGACATTTGCTGTCAATGCCAAATCCTTCACAAGTGGAGAAAGTCAGTTTCTTGTTGTCTCTATATTTGTTTCTTGTCAATCAATACAATCATCTTGAGGTTCTATAATTTTCATGCATAGGAAGATTTTTATGATTATCTGAGACATATTCACCATTTGCAAGTACAGTATTATTAATACAACCTTATTATGCTACCAAAACTGTTGTTATCTGGGAATTATTCTTGAATCCATTCTAGGAATTTTTTCAAGTGCTTCAGAAATATAATTTTTGGAATAGAGAATACTAAAGTGAACAGTAAATAAGAGTCTGATCAATTACTCAAGAACATTTGAATTTCTTTAGTTGTGATTCTGTAAGTATATTTCAAACAAAATTTTTACACATGTCCTCTGCATCCATGAGCAATCAGATGTCAAAACTTTCAAGGGATGCTTATCTCAACTTGCAAATTACAGTGGCCCCTCTGCCTAACAGACCACCCGTGTAAGGGATTTTCGCCA